TCCACTGGAGTGAATTCTTTTCCACATACTTCATCACCCGTCATATTCAAACAGTCAAAACCGTCATCCTCAGGTGAAGACCTAAAATAGCATCTATGTGAGCTACACAGGAGAATGTTAAACATAGAATTTTAAGACCTAAGTAGCATTCAAATAACATTGTCCTATGAAGGAAAATTTCTTATAGCATTCAGATAACAAAATCCTATATGAGATAAAAGACAGAACAGTAGTTGCTGGGCAACATCACAGAACAACAGCACTTTTAGATATTGTAAGAACTTTTCACTTCTGGTTATAACAGCAACATTTTTTTACTCTGAGAAACAGAACACATAAAAAATATACATAGATTAACTCCTATACTTTCCTTGTGCCATACTTGAGATAAGAATGTACAGAGCTCACACTTGAGAGAAAAGAGTTCACATTTTCTCTGAAATCAAGTTCACAGAACAACACCAATAGGTCTAAAATCAGGTTCAGAGAACAGCTACAGGTCTGAAATCAAGTTCACACTTGAGAGAAAATAGTTCACATTCTATCTAGGTAGCCATAACTGCAAGAAATAGGACCATGTGAAATTCACCATCCAAAGTAACATAATTTAATTGTTTGGAAAGGTAAAACAGCAAGTAACACTTCATGGCAGGCAACAGACATGGTAAAATTCTTAGCTAACTAAAAGGAATATTTCTAAAATATAGTGTCTGTTGTTCTTTGTACCCTTGGCCAGATTATTGTTTGTTATAAGCCAGTCCCAACACAGTTCCCTTGACAGCCTAACTGCTTGCAATATAATAAAAAGATGAGTGAAAAAACATGACACTTACTTTAACGATGAACTGATAAAAATGACAAAGATACATCTACTTCACCATGCTTTGGTTGGCACTGCTCTGTTCAAACAGTTTATACCGAAGAGAATTCAGGCGTCAAACTGGAACAAAGTAGAAAAAAATAGGGTTGCCTTCCCAAATAACTTTGCACAAGAAAATAGTAGCGGCAGTGATCAATCTAGGGATAATGCTAGCTAGACTGACTGGTTACATAAATCAAATGCACAAATTAAGTATACCATCAGACCTTTGACCTCTAAATGAACACATATATTTGAAAATTAGGCAAATACACCATATCTTTGTCTCTAAAAGTATTGTTGAAACAATCAACTCAGAGCGCACTTATCTGTGTTCTTGTAGAGCATTTCTCTCATCTGTTCAGAAGCTCTGCTTTTACCACGAAGCTCTGCTTTTACCACGAACCACAATATCTTGCGCTTTGATCCAACCTGCACAGAACACTTGCTAGCTTAGAAAGAGGTTTGAGTTTCAGCACAGTATGGACAAGAAAGATACCCTATGCACTGAAGCTCCCATAAGCCCCCTCCGAAATCCGAACCCTAGTAGCAAAAAATCCCCAAAATCCTGAGCCAACCCCAACCCTAAGATTAGCTAAGACCTTTTTTCGCTTACCATAACATGTCACCGGGCTTGGCCTTGGCCCTGTGCTAACTCGGCGACGACCACAGAAAGGAGCTGCGCCGCCACCCTTCTCCTGTGAGCGCGTGGTCTCCCGCTCAGGGCGCCATCCGATGGACCGCTCAACGGTGCCGCGTGCGGCCGCATGCGTGCGCCAGCGAGGGGCGCCCCGGTGGTGCCACCAACTCCTGCTCCGCACTTGTCCTCTCCGGCGACGGCCCATGCAGCGGCTGGCTGAGAGTGCGTGGGAGGCGGAGGGGAGGAAGAACAGAATGTAGCTAGGGTTTGCCAGGCTGCGGGGTTTTTTGTTCTCGCGAAATCTAAGCTCAACCGTCGATCTCCTTTGGGCGGTGAAGATCAGCCCTCCGTTTTAGCTGAACTGGCGGGGGAGAAATGGCCCAAAGGGCTGTTTCCCGGCAAGATAGCACAAAAATTTCATTGCCGAGTGCCCCCGATCTGGCACTCGGCAAAGTATTTTTTTAATATTTTTAAATTCTTTCCCGAGTGCCCCTGATCTGGCACTTGGCAAAGTTTTTTTTTAATTTTTTTAAATTCTTTGCCGAGTGTCATCCGGCCTGACACTCGGCAAAGAGGGTTTTTTTTTAAAAAAATTAAAATTAGTTGTCGAGTGCCCGCCGTCCTGGCACTCGGCAAAGAGGCTCATTTGCCGAGCGCCAAACGCAGACACTCGGCAAACTATTTTTATTTTTTTTTCTTCCTGCCCCAAACTTTTTCTGTAGTCCTCATACAATACCTAGTACTCCATGTTTCAATGTGGCATATTTCTCGGACTTTTTTCTATATTTCTTTAATTTATTTCATTTAATTGAATTTTCTTAGATAATTCAAATTATAACTGCTAGTCATTCGAATAATGAAAAAAAATAATGAGAAAATGATATTCATGTTATTTAGTATAATGTGATGCCATATTCAGGAACATACCACTAATTTCGAACATCTTGTTCATGAAACATGACCACGAACTTGCGGTCGAGTTGTTTTTAAATTCTATAAAAAGCAAATGAAGACCGAAAATCTTGAAACTTGTCGAGATGTCATGATATCATATGTGGAGGCTGTGATAAAAATTGAGGAAGTTTCGCGCAAGTTTGTCACGTACGATGCTTACCACCTCGTCGGTCTCTTCACGAAATCATGAAACTTCTTCGGACATTCTTCGGTTTGAAAGAGGAGAGAGCATAACATGCCGACGTGACAACTTAAAAATTATTTCCAACCAGCCGTTGGAAACCTTCTTAAATTTTTATCACAGCCTCCACATATGATATCATGACATCTTGACAAGTTTCATGATTTTCGGACTTCTTTTGCTTTTTATAGAATTTCAAAAAACAACATGAACTATCGTATGGTCCCTACCCACAAAATTAAGTGGTCATGTTTCATGAACAAGATGTTTGAAATTAATGGTCCGATCTTCCTGGATACGGCCTCACATTATACTAAAAACATGAATATCATTTTCATTCATTTTTTTCATTATTGAATGACTAGCAAGAATGCTTATAATTTGAATTATCCAAGAAAATTCAATTAAATGAAATAAATTAAAGAAATATAGAAAAGTCTTAGAAATGTGCCACATTGGAACATGGAGTACCTAGGTATTGTATGAGGATTGCGAAAAAGTTGGAGGTCAAAAGTGGAAAAAAATATGGTTTGCCGAGTGTCAGGAAAAATGACACTTGGCAAATCTATGGAAGTCTATTTGAAGCAAAGATTAGCTCAAGCTACGATTGAGTGTCAAGGAGAGGAAAAGTTGACACTCTATTTAACAAGGACGCTTGTGTTATGATAACCGCTTTAGGAAGACATAAACAAGTGTTGGGAGAAGACACTCGGCAAAGGGTTAGTAGCTTATCATGGCGTCAATTTATAATCTATTTATGAAGGACCGTTGTTAAAGCACATTGTCCTCTGCGTCTGATTTACAACGAATCTTAATCGCCTTTGCCGTAAAAGTGTCGAGAATAACACTCGGCAAAGACTAGTTTTTGCCGATAAATAGAAGGTGTTTTCGAACAGTGCACCTCCCAAAGATACACTAATCGGCACACACCTATTTGCCGAAGAAAAGTGCAGGATTTGTTCTTTTTCATGGAAAGTGCTTTTTCTCTGGCACTCGGCAAATAGCCTCTTTGCCGAGTGTCCGATAAAAAGCACTCGGCAAAATCTGGGACACTCCGGCAAAGAAGCCGTCTCCGGTAGTGTCTAGAAATATTCACCCAAGCTCTGCTAATGTGAACTTCTTCTCCATAGACATATCCACCCAAGCTATAGAAGTTTTCTAGGTCCGACACTGTTTTAAACCAAACTACTTTAAGTTTAATAAATTTATAAAAAAATAATATTAACGATATGAAATAAGAAATCATTAGAGATATTTTTTTTTCATCATTAAAAGCTGCTGGCGCCTCTAGTAGCAGCCGGCCCCTTGTTTGGTTTAAAAGCTGCTACGATGAAGCGTACTCCCTCCGTTCAAAAAAATCAAAAGACTCCAAGTAAATAAAACCGGCCGGTGCCTCTGCTAGCAGCCGGCCCCTTGTTTTCAAAATCTGAAACCTAGCTAAGAATGTTGTTATATATACTTATGTAATAATATATATAATGGTCAATGTATATTAATTATTGAATTATATACCAAGAAGTGTGCTACTACGTACTGATGGGAGGGGGCCGGAAGCTTTTGTATTGAAAACCTAAGACTACCCACATGTGTGTGTGTTAGTTGTAATGTTTACTTCAATTTGCGATCATCCATCGCATAAAAATTCTAGTTGTAATGAAACATGGAAAAGTGACTCTTGGCATCGGGTAGTGCCAATATCACAAGAATTATAGTGTAGCATGGCAATAAAGGCTGGGGCTCGGTTGATCATGGGTCAAGGCGCGAAGCTGGCGTCCAAAGCCGAGTTCAAAAACATTGGCATCGAGGAACCTACATGCATCGGTCTGTGAGGAATAAAATAGTATTTCATTGTCGGCGACTCCGCTGGCATTGCTGCTTGCTCATGCATAGGAAATGAAGATGATGATGCTCTTGACATTGGTCCCTAAGTGCTATGGAACCACGATGTATGATTTGGGGATGGAGCTGAATTTTTGTGGTTTCTGCAGCCTAATTTGATGGTGGAGTCGATCGTTTTCAGCGAAGGGAAAATCGGCTGTGATAGCTGGTTTTTGAGGTCAGCCTCGTCGACTGCTGTGGAAATATCTAGAGTTGAGGCATCGGAACGTACGGGAGGCTGAATTTTTTTTCGAGCAACGACAACGCTGTGGTCAGTCTAAGCTAGTAGCAGGTATGACTGAATATAATAATGGATCAAAAGTCAGAAGGCGAGCTAGTTACGCTACTCGGCTGTTGACAAGTTAAAACTAAAATTAAAATTAAAATTAAATAAAGTAGGAATAAAGCGTGTATAAATACACCATGGATGGGTGCATCTGAGACCACACATGATCGAAGGGCGAACAGGCAGGCAAAAGTGCAAAACAATGCAGTCGTCCTTGGGTAGTAGCGGCAGGATACTGGTGATCGGTGGGACGGGGATGATGGGGCAGCACCTCGTCAAGGCCAGCCTCGCCGCCGGCCACCCCACCGCCGTGCTCGTCCGCCCAGCCAGCAGCAGCGCCGCCGCCGACCCCAGCAAGCTCAAGCTTCTCGAGGCCATCAAGGCCAGCGGAGCTACCGTCATCGGAGTACGTCGTTGTTTATTTATATATACGTGCTCGAGACATGCATTTAATTTGTTATAGTGACAGTGATATATACTACTGTGCATACGATGAACAGCAGCTAATAGCAGCCCTAATAAGTAATAACTCCCTGCATGCATGCATGCGCAGGGCGACATCTACGACCACGAGAGCCTGGTGGCGGCGTTCAAGCAGGTTGACGTCGTCATCTCCGCCGTCGGCCACCACGGGCCGCACGACCTAGAAGACGGCCAGCTCAGGATCGTGGCGGCCATCAAGGAAGCAGGCAACGTGCGGCGGTTCGTGCCGTCCGAGTACGGGTGCGACGTGGAACAGGCCGCGAGATCGGCGGCGGTGCTGGAGCCGGCGCGAAGCATCCTGCTGGCCAAGGTCCGGGTCCGGGACGCCGTCCGAGCCGCCGGGATCCCGCACACCTTCATCTGCAGCTACTGGGCGCACGGCTTCGTGCTGCCGCGCCTCGGCGACCCCCACGTCGACGGGCCTCCGGCCACCAAGGCCACCGTGTTCGGCGACGACGCCACGCGCGCCATCTTCGTGCACGAGGCGGACATGGCAGCGCTGACGGTGAGGGCCGTGGACGACCCGCGGGCGCTGGACAAGATCCTCTACGTGCGGCCGGCGGCTAACACCTGCTCGCTCGCCCACCTGGTGCACCTCTGGGGGGACAAGACGGGGAGGGCACTGGACAAGTACTACATGCCCGAGGAGGAGCTCGTCGCCAGGATCAGGGACTCGCCGCTGCCGCTCAACTTCCAGCTCGCCATGGTGCACGCCACCGTCGTCGCCGGGGTCTGCGACCAGACCGTCGACGCCGAGGCTGGCGGCGTCGAGGCCACGGACCTCTACCAGGACGTCAACTTTGTCACCGTCGATGACTTCCTTGACGGTCTCAAGGAGGGCATAACGGTCAATTAATTTGTGACTGAGATGAGATATTGGGACATGTGGTCCATTATCTCTGAGCTATTTATGTGTTAATAAATCTTGCAAAAGTTCTCGGTCGTATATTATTTTTACAATGATTTGCTATCTAGTAGCAGCGCTACTCCTACCAAATGTTGACGGATTAAAATTAAGAATATCTTTTGATATCTAAAATAGCACATATGGTCTTGGTGTAATCCATAATCCGATTATGTGGATATAATGATCCTAGTTATCTATAAGATCCCCAAATTCTAGATTATTGAAATAGGCTTTACATGAATATGGAAAAATTATTTTGTGATAGTCTTTAAATAGACATTTAATGGTCAATTCTATTAATCATTCTGACATATATTGTACAAGGCTTCACATGAATATGTATAGCTTGACAGAATGATATATCACATACTGAAGTTATGTGGTGTTGATTCTATTAATCAATGGTCATTATCTATAAAGGTAATGCAACTTGTGTTGCGTAGATGGAGACAAGTTATACTTAATGCAATATTTTGCACTAAGATGATTTTGTTCCATAGGTAATTGGACATATGAATATTTGCAAACTAAGTCTCGTGATAATCTTGCAAAGATATTCACATAATCTACCATACTCCATATTTCTTATGTGTTAAGTGCATTGGTATGAATTTAATTTGAGGTTTGCTAGTATCAAGGGATAGTCTCTCTGATTAATAACTTGTTGCAAACATCATATTATACTCTTTTCTTTGTATGAGTTTTTCCCTTGAGGTTTCTCATATAAAGTTTTTAATGAGGTAATATCAACATAAGGTTATGTCATATCATCCATTTTTTCCCACAGGGATTTTTGGTGGATGATATTGGGACATAAGATGCATTGTACTCTTTTCTTTATGTGAGTTTTTCATTTATGGTTTCTCGTATAAAGTTTTTGATGATGCAATGTTCAACATAAAAGTATATGATATATCATCTATTTTTTCCTATTGGGGTTTTTGAAAGATGATATTTGATGCATATTGATCATATGGTCAATGTGTTTTTAGACTAAGGCTTTAGGTTTATCTCAAAGGGTCTAATAATATTAGTGATTGTATATCATGGTGTTTCTCCTTATTTTTCTCACTGTGTTTTAAGGAATTTTGCCTGTTATATCGGAATTACTTTGGTTTTTTCCACAGGGTTTTCCAAAGATTTATAAAGATGCATAATAGATGAACAACAAAGACTATAAAGAGCTAATTGATCAAGGGAGAGTGTTGAGAATTATTATTTAGTGTTTAATCCAAGGGGTGGATTAACCGCCCCATAAGCTTTGTATATATATGTGTCTGTTTATTGGAATATCATCCCCTCTCTCTCTTTTTTACAAGATTAAAGATTGATAAGACAAGAAGACGAGACTTTGATGGCTTAATTGTTTATTTTTCATGGAACATTTGGAATTAATACCTTTCAACAATTATATATATATATATATATATATATATATATATATATATATGCTAGCTGTTTGTGTGTGTACAAGTATAAAGCCCCAAAAACTTCGCTAAAGGTTTGCCGAGTGTTTATTGGAATATAACGCAAATCCTTTTATCACTTGCTTGCCAAAAACTCTCAAACAAACTTTTTTACTTCTAACAAGATCGCCGCCGCCACCACCATCCACGCGCCGCCACCATCCACGCCTCAAGTTAAAGATTGATAAGACAAGAAGACGAGACTTTGATGGCTTAATTGTTTATTTTTAATGGAACATTTGGAATTAACACAACAGAAGGACCTTTCAACAATTATCAGAGCAACCTCTGTATGACATGCAAACTTGCTAGCTTTATGAATAATGCAATGAATACTTGAAGAAAAACTAGCTATGTAATTACTCACTAAGAGCTCTCAACCTTGCTACTCTAAAGAGTCAACTAGATGAATGTAAATAATAAAGCAAGCTCTCAATTCTAATTACATGCTTGTATCAACTAATTTCAAGAATGTAAATGAGTGAGTAGAGTGATTATAGCTGATGAACCAATCACAAGATGAATATATACAATCACCGGAGAATGACAAAGAAGAGAGAGAGACAATCGATTTTCTCCCGAGATTCACGTGCTTGCCAACACGCTTACGCCCCCGTAGGTCGACCAACACTTGGTGGTTCGGCTGGCTAAAGGTGTTTCACAAACCTCGTCCACACGATTGGACACCCAAGAACCGACCCACAAGTGAAGTAACTCAATGACACGAGTAATTTACTAGAGTTACCTTTCGACGCTCTGCCGGGAAGGTACAACTCCCCTCACAATCATCGGCGACCACACGAACAATCACCAACTCGTGCCGATCCTTCACCGCTTGCTCAACCGTCTCAGGTGGTGGCAACCACCAAGAGAAACAAGCGAAATCCATGACGTAACACGAATACCAAGTGCCTCTAGATGCAATCACTCAAGCAATGCACTTGGCTCCCAATCTCACAATGATGATGGATCAATGATGGAGAAACTTTTAAGCTTCAAAACATGTCAATGAAAATGTGCAAAGTTTTCCTTGAGCGGCCATGGGGCTATAAATAGAGCCCCCATCAATTAGAAGCCGTTGTACCCCTTCTTTGGGCAAAACACCGATCGGACGCTCGGTCATACCGACCGGACGCTGGCCCTTAGCGTCCGTCATCGATGGATGCGCACGCCGCCACCGGCTCCAAACGATGTTCGCCGATTTATCCACGCCTCTGAAGTTAATGGAAGCTCCCCAAAAATCGGACGTTGAAGCCCCCAAGCGGTCGGTCGTTTCGAAGAAGCTCCCGAGGCACCAACGCGTCCGGTCCACCTTGAGGCGAGACCGGCATCCGATGCTCAACCCTACCTGTTGCCTCACATTCTCGACTCGTGGGACCTTTCAGTCGTCTCATTGAGTGACCCCGATGAACTAACGCCCGACATCATTTCGATCAACTCCATTTCAACTCTAACTTCTTCACCCTTGCTCAAATGTGCCAACCACCAAGAATTTTGCATCCAAGCAATAGAAAATAGACATTTCATCTTTCCAAAAGCGTGAATCCGCCTCGGAAGCTCGGCGGGAGGGAGAGGGACCCAAACCCATCTCAACGCAAACACCTTGTGCACATGTGTTAGCATATTTTCACAAATATTTTCAAGGGTGTTAGCACTCCACTAGATCCTAAATGCATATGCAATGAGTTAGAGCATCTAGTGGTACCCGGCGAGTTACACTCCTCTTAATAGCCGACTATCTATCCTAAATGTGATCACACTCACTAAGTGTCTTGATCACTAAAACAAAATGGCTCCTACATTTTATACCTTTGCCTTGAGCCTTTTTGTTTTCTCTTTCTTCTTTTTCAAGTTCAAGCATTTGATCATCACCATGCTATCACCATTGTCATGATCTTCGTCATTGCTTCATCACTTGGAGTAGTGCTACTTATCTCATAATCATCTTGATAAACTAGGTTAGCACTTAGGGTTTCATCAATTAACCAAAACCAAACTAGAGCCAGAGAGGACGGGGGGAGGTGAGAGGAGGGGGGAGTGGGGGCGGCGGCAGAATGGCCGTGGACTCCATCCTTTCCACGAGTCCCGAGGCGCAGAAGGAGGGCGGATCCGGGGCGGAGGGACGGGAGAGGGGAGGGGGCGTCGCCAGGAGAGAGGAGGGGGCGGGAGAGGGGACGCCCGGCGAGGAGGGACGAGGGAGAGGAGGGAGGGGGGAGGAGGGGACGGAGGAGAGGAGGGAGGCGCTGGCCATTTGAGGAGGGGCGCCGACGAGACGAGGCGAGGGGAGGAGGAGGGGAGGAGGAGGGAGGGAGGGAGGGGAGGAGGGGAGGAGAGGGCGGGAGGGAGGAGGGAGGGTGGTGCAAGGGGGAGGAGGAGGGCGGTAAAGGACGCAGTCTTGGGAAAGGAGGAGGGAGGCGGGGTTTTATTTCTAGAAAAAATTCTTTAGCGAGTGTTCTAGACCTAGTACTCGGCAAAGTTTTTTTTTTATTTTTTTTTCTTCTCCTTCTTTTTCAGAAAAAAGATTTTTTTTTTGCCAAGTGTTCTAGATCTGAGCACTCGGTAAAGTTTTTTTTTCTTCTCCTTTTCCAAAAAAAGATTTTATTTCTTTGTCGAGTGTTTTTTTGACACTCGGCAAACCCGCTCTTTGCCGAGTGTTTTTTTTTTTGACACTCCCCCTCTTTTGCCGAGTGTTTTTTTCCGAGTGTTTTTAACGCAACACTCGGCAAAGAACTTAGTCGCCGAGTGCCCGAGGGAATACACTCGGCAAACATAAAAACACTCGACAAATTTGATGATTCCGGTAGTGAGACAGCTTTTTCTAGCTTTTGTTTGTTTTTTCTTCTGCTAATAAAAATGAGGCAAAACTTTTGCTGTTCGTTCGAAAAAAAATCCTATTTAATTTCCATGCATCTTTAACTTAATTTTATGTCATTTTAATTTGTCAACAGCTGAGCAGCGTAACTAGCCCGCCCCCTGACTTTTCATCGATTGATCAGTCATACCTGCTGCATAGCTGCATGCATGGGACCTAGGTAGCTTAGCGTAGTCTTTTTTTCAATACAAAGCCCCGGTCTCTCTCAGCAGCACACTTTATATATATATACACACACACACACAAATAATATACATTGACCAATTTTTTTAAGTAAAAGGTTTTCTCGCTTTATTATTTTATAGAAACAAAGCAGTTCGAATTCAGTACAGCATAATAGCGTATTATAGGCGCGCTCGCCACCAATTCTTCTGCTCCTACGACGGTGACTTCTTCGACCGTGCTTATGTCCAAGTCACATTTTTGAACCACTCTATTTAGCTCCGGAATAATTTCTTCCCTTTTAAGTCTTATATGGAGTATATCTCTTGTAATAAGGCAACTTAGACTTTGACTTTTTTATGTCTTTGTTTATTACTTGAGCTCCCTTCGTCCTAAAAAGAATACACATAACTCATATTTCGAGGTCATTTTTTTTTTTAAAAATAACT